GGAGCGCGGAGCCACCATACACCACAGCACTGGAGGAGCCCGGCACGAGGAGGGAGAGAGCAGCGGCCACCAGATCAAAGGTGATTCACACACACACACACACACACCAACATGCACGGTGAAGCACACACACAACACAGAAAGAGATAGCAGCAGCCACCAGATCAAAGGTCACACACACACACACACACACACACACACACACACACGTGTTTAGACAGGCTTGTATGAATGATCTGTGTTTTGTGTGTGTTCTGCAGATCTGAGCTCCTCTTCTTCAGCTCTGGCTCCTGAAGTGGGCCGCCGCACCTCTGTCTTGTTCTCCAAGAAGAACCCTAAAGTCTCTGGTCCCCCGAAACGCCCTGGCCGGCCCCCGAAGAACCGCGAGGTGCTGCATGGCGCTGGGGTGTTGAGCTCCAGCCCCATCGGGCCCCCGCAGCTGCCCTCACTCACAGCTTCTCGCAAGAGAACACACAGCCCCCAGTCCAGCTCCAGCTCCGAGTCCGACAGCGATCACGAACACCTCATCCTGGGTACGTCTGACCTCTGACCCCACAATAACCCGCCAGCAGCAGCTTCAGGGACTGACGTTACACATCAGGACACATCTTAAAGTCTGAGTGAAATCCAAAGCCCCGCCTCCTACTCAATATTCCTATAAGGGAATGTTGCACAAAAGAAAGCCCCGCCTCCTACTCAATATTCCTATAAGAGTTTGTTGCACAAAAGAAAGCCCCGCCTCCTGCTTAATATTCTTAGAATGGAATGTTGCACAAAAAGAAAGCCCCGCCTCTTACTCAATATTCCTATAAGGAAATGTTGCACAAAAGAAAGCCCCACCTCCTACTCAATATTCCTATAAGGGAATGTTGCACAAAAGAAAGCCCCGCCTCCTACTCAATATTCCTATAAGAGTTTGTTGCACAAAAGAAAGCCCCGCCTCCTGCTTAATATTCTTAGAATGGAATGTTGCACAAAAAGAAAGCCCCGCCTCTTACTCAATATTCCTATAAGGGAATGTTGCACAAAAGAAAGCCCCGCCTCCTACTCAACATTCCTATAAGGAAATGTTGCACAAAAGAAAGCCCCGCCTCCTGCTCAATATTCTTAGATTGGAATGTTGCACAAAAAAAAGCCCCGCCTCCTGCTCAATATTTTTAGTATGGAATGTTGCACAAAAAGAAAGCCCCGCCTTCTACTAAATATTTTTAGAATGGAATGTTGCACAACAAAGGAAAGCCCCACCTCCTACTCAATATTCTTATAAGGAAATGTTCCACAAAAACAAAGCCCCGCCTCTTACTTAATATTCTTATTAGGAAATGTTCCACAAAAAGAAAGCCCCGACTCCTACTCAATATTCTTATGAGGGACTGATGCGCAAAGCCCTGGCCCTGCTCAATATTCCTACAAAGGATTGATGCACAAAATGTATGCCCTGCCCCCTAATTAATATCCCTACAAGGGAATGATGCACAAAAAGAAAGCCCCACCTCCTAATCAATACTTTTATAAGGCAATGTTGCACAAAATAATGCCCCACCTCCTACTTAATATTCCTATAAAGGAATGATGCACAAAAATAAAGCCCTGCCCCTTAATTAATATTCCCAATAGGAAATGATGGACAGAAAGCCCCGCCCCTACTCAATATTCCTATAAAGGAATTATGCTAAAAAATAAAACCCCGCCCCCTAATCAATATTCCTATAGGGGAATGTTGCACAAAAAGAAAGCTCCAGTTCCTTATCAATATTTATTGGTGGAAAGGTGCACAAAAATGATTAGTGCCCACTAATTAATATTCCTACAAGAGAAGAAAGCCCCGCCCCTCCTCAATATTTCTATGAGGGACTGATTGAGCAAAAACAAAGAAAAAAATGGCAGATAATGAGAAGATCTACAAGATAATAATGATGAATGAATATGAAACATATTAAATGTAAAAAGTGAAGAATTTGTGAGAAGATATATATAAAATATTTAAGTTGGAAAATAAAAATTAAATAGAAATTAGAAAAGAAATAGAAAAGAAATAATTAATTANACAAATAAATACATCTTTTAAAACAATGCAGTCTTAGTTTTGGGTCAGGGGTTTTACAGTGTAAAGCAGTGTTTTGCTGAATCCAGCCAGCTCGTTTCAAATGACTGCGATGGCTGCAGTTCCCACAAGGGGGAGACAAAGTAAAGCGTGGGTTTGCTTTCTCAATCTAAAGGTGATCTGAATAGGTTATGACAGTTCTTAAATAATTAAACACAGCAAGGCCCACATGTAGAAATTTAATACAAATGCCAATCACACATTTAACATACGAGGTCATTCTGTGGATTTCATATATATATCTATATATATTATATTATATATGACAGTTTATTTTTAGTTAATTAAACTACAAATATGCACATATATGTTCAAATATATTCACTATGCTTTTGTACTCATATTATGTACACATGATTTTACATAGTACATGAACGCTTATTACTCCATATTCCGGGTCATTTTTGTTTCTGTTGATGGCATTTTCGCCCTGTGTGTGTTACTCGCACTGCTCTCTTTAGTGCTCAGTTTGATAGATCATCAGCTTTATTTTATTCTCATTAAACATCAGTCAAATGCATCAAAAACACTTAAAATCAGAGGAAAGCCCCACACATCTCTCTGAATGAGTCAGATGTTTTCTGTTCAGAGCGGTGAATGCTGGGAAATCCCTCTATTAGAGCATGAGAAAACACACTTCTGTCACTACTGTAATGACACTACAGCACACACACACACACACACACACTTCCGCTCGTCCTTCACATACAGTCGAGGGCACGATCTTTCACTCTCCTGTGCAATATTTATTCTTTTTCAAATATTTCCCAAGAGATGTTTAACAGGGCAAGGACATTTTCACAATATTTTCTATAATATTTCTTCTTCTGGAGAGTCTTATTGGTTTTATTTTGGCTGAAGTATAAACACAATAACTTTTGAAATATTCTTTGGTTGAATATATATACTCTGAAGACGTGTATTAAATAGAGCAAGAGGATGTCACGCTGCCGTCTGTAGCTCCGCCCTCTTCTGAAAAGAGCACAATCTCATTTGCATTTAAAGCAACAGTCACCAAATGCCACAGTTAGGATCAAAGCCTGAAAGGGTCAGCTTCAGAGAGCTGGAGAGCATCATCTGTGGGGTATTCTCAGCTCAGACTCACACACACACACACACACACACACACTAGAGAGACGTATTTTACAGCTTATATAAAGAGGCAGAATAGGTGACCTTTAATATTATTATTCTCTGTACCGCTGTTTTGAAGTGACGTGTGTAATTAAACACAGGTGTGTAACTGTGTGTTTGTGTGTGTGTGTGTCAGATCTGCACAGTAATGGTTTTGGTGGAAGCGGTCAGCCGAAGACGGAGAGTTTTCTGGTGTACAGGAACGAACGCAGCCTGCCGAGATCCAGCTCCGACTCTGAGTCCACCAGCAGCAGTAGCAGCAGCGCAGCGTCTGACAGGACCAGGTACACACACACACACACACACATACACACATATATATGTAAATGAGTTATAAATGATTTAAATGAAAGCGCAACAGGACAGAAAGGTAAACACAGCCATTCAGAAGCACAGAATAGGTCACTCACTGCACTCCAGCACTATGCTGAGCTCTATCATCTAATGAACACAGATTACTGCTCTTGAACAGGATTCATGTAGATGCTGAATCACTGATATGTTTTCAGCCACAAATCAGCCTTTTAGGATGACTGTTAGACTCGCTCCCGTTGGTCAATCTGGCAACCTGCGCTTGCGTGTGTTTTGATCTGGGAGTGTAATACCTAGTTCAACCACCGGGTGTCAAACACACACACTGCATCTTTAAAGCAAGCAGAATGGGGTCAGTGGGGTAAACCACATCAACTTCTGTCAGAAGGAGAAGCAGGAATATTCTTGTTGGAATGTTTAGCTTGTCTAGAAAGGCTTTTTAATTCAAGTATGAACAGCATTATTTGCAGTGAATCACACCGCTCAGTGGAAACGAGGAGTAATAGGTGCACCTTCACTTCTGTGCCGGTCATTCATGAAGCGCACAG